TTAGACAGAATGATGTGGGGAGCAGAGGACAGTGTGGCAGGAGAGCTCAGTTACCTTCCCTTTCATGGACTGAGCAAATCCACTGAAGCTGGTGTCAGAGAAACACTGATGGTTATGGAATCTCCTGAAGCCAAGACTGGACCAGGGTAGTTCTGGAAGGAGGACTTTCTGGACAGCATTGGAAGGAAGACAGCTGGTTCCTGACACACATCTCTACTTCCCATCATATCCTGCAGGTGCTACTTCCTTAACATTCCAAAACTCTAGTGTAAGAGCCACGAGTTTCCTTTGGCACCATCCTGCTTGGGACACCCCAGGGAGCAGAGCTCATGCCTCTTAAAACATGACCACATCCATGCTGGGGCTAAAATGCCTGAGATTTGTATTTCCAGGGGGTCACTGGCCTTAGACCACATGTAGGGACTATTTTTGTAGCTATAACATCTAAAGTTTTCACTATGACTAGGAAAAGAGCCTAGAACTGCCAAGTAGAATTTACATGGTGTGAGTCCAGTAGCCTGAATGAAGAATGCCTCATCTTCTTTTGTCAGAATGAAACCATCATATTTCTGCCATTGGAGACACTGGAGTGTGGTGTTCCTTCATGAGGTCACCACGGGGCTGGACAGGGCTGACAGTCTGGCTGAAAGGGCTGAAGAATTCTAGACAGAAGAAGGCATCATGTTGCATGGGCTTACAGAGAGCAATTTGTCCCCAATTGTTGGGCTACAGGAGGGAAACACCCTTGAGAATAGACCCCTTTCTTGAAGTTTGGGACTTGACCTGGAGATCTTGAGTGTTCTCTTACCTATTACTACTAACTCCAGAGAATCACTGTTCCATGAGGCTTCTGACAGAAGCAGAGATATTGCCTGACATGAGACCATTCAATAAACAGGATGACTAACTCAGCCTTCAGTCAGGACAGCATTTGGGACACTCTGTACCAGGAATACAGGCTTTCATTTAATAAAGAATAATTCCAGGTACATGAGGTCCCCTCACATGTTGTGATCACATGTCTTCCTTTGGAAGCCACAGGTCTTGGCTCAGCCCTGAGTGGAGTCTTTGGAAAGATCCCCACTTGAAATCAGCTTCTCTGTCGTAGGACATGAGGCTTCAGAGTTGCAGAACTCTGCCCCAGGATCCAATGACATTTCACAGCATCTGTCAACATCTACCGTTTTCCATTACCAGTGTCAAGAGATGTTCTATTGTCCTCCGTGATTAGGAGGGATCTGACATTTTAGAACACACTTACATTCATGCACTAGGTTCAAGCACAGAGTCAGTCCTAGAAGAGAGTTCCCTGTGAGAGGTTTGTCCCTAAGGACTGAATAGGCCCTTATTACCACAACCACCTTCAGAGATCCTGAGGTGTCCTGATGGAACAGTGCCTGGCTGTGGGAAGTAAAGCCATCAACCCCACAGTAGGATGTCTGCTCACAATCTTCACATCTTCACACTCTCTCTCTCAAAGAAAAGCTGAGAGAATTGCAGTCATGGCATCTCCTCCTGTGGCTTTTACAACCTTGCAGTTGGTTCGGGACAGTCCTAGCCAGATGGGAAGACACACAGCGTGTGGCTTTTAGTTGGTGGGCCCCCCCTCTTACCACACTGCTATCATTTCATCATCCTCACAGGAAAAGGAATTTCCCTCTTCAGAAAACTGTCTTTGGTTTCCCAAATACTGCAGCTCAAGCACGATCTAAATGATTTCTTTTTAGAAAGAGCGTCATGAACCCCAGGCAGTCCTCAAACTCTTGATCCTCACCCCTCAGCCTCCTGTACACTGAGATTATAGGCCAGTGATGAGACAGTCTTTTCTTACAGAAGCAGCAATTCCATGAAATCGCTCTATGCCTGTTTGAATGATTTTCATTTCATCAGTGGCCAGAACTTAGCAATAAATAGTCCTAGTGTCTCCCTGAGAAGGAACTTTCCATCTGAGAGTGATCTAGACATGGCCATTTCCTCTCAGAGCCTCCATGTTAGGTCTCCTTCATTAATTCATCCAGACCATCCTTACAGTGTTATGAGGTCGAAATCATGGCCAGTCTGCTACCTACCCCTTGAATTGTTTTGAAGATGTTGTGTGAATTATTTTGGAGACTCATAAACACTTTATACTCACCCAGATGATACATAACTGACAAATAATGACACAACACCACCAAGCCAAGCTTGGTGAAGGAATTGGTTACAGTTTTTTGTATGAGAAGAGAATTAGCATCTATTTAATGCCTACATCAATAAAGAAAACATTTCCCCCAGTAACCTTTAACAGCCTATCTGCTATCTGTCCTTAGGGATAGGTATGATCTCCTGAGATTCTACATGAAGGAACACCTTAATGGTCCCAATCTTATATACATCACCGTTAGGCCATCATAGAGGCTCAGAGTCCAAGAAAGCAATGGTCACTCCTTGCCTGCTGGACAGCATCCCATAGCAGGAAAGATGAATATTGATGCTGCAGGGAGGATGCAAGGCAGAGAGACACACTGATCACATGACTTTGCCCCTCACATGTAGCTTTTATCCTGGAGATGAGCACACAGGGATTCACAGAGAGAAAGCAAGGGAAATGGGGCTGTTCTCGTGGCTCTCTGGTTTTATGTTCCCT